ATACACCTGATTTATGGAAATTAACAAAACCTGTTACTGATTGCATTACTGTGAACACTGTTTACTTGTGTAGCTATATTTTGTGGGGGGAATCCATTGTTTGTTAAGCAGCTATTAGAGATGCAGGGCACCAAGGTTAAGCTAGATGATGGATATAACAAAATGATTTGTTTCCATTTATTACTGATAGTTTCGTTCTGCACTTTTAAGGCATTTGTGGCATGGAGGTCTTGAAATTGACACACAACAAACAAGCTATCAGTTACCCCCCAACTACAACAGCAGTCTGGCTTTCCTTCACCCAGACTGGTTATTCTAACACCAAAATTTTAACAGTTGTATTCTCTCTCTCTCTCTTTTTTTTTTTTTTTATTTTTTGGCTTTTTCCAGTCGGTTGATGTCTGAAAACCATGTATAACTTTTAGTTTGTGAGAAACTGTATGGTTAATGTAACTTTGTTTAATAACAAACTGCAGAAACAAAACTGGAATAGCTCTAATTTCTTCACATATAACTGATCAGCTTTTCCTCCATTCTGACACTCGTTTACTAAATGTCATCTAAAGCTTCTCCCGGATGAAGTGGAAAGTGGTGCGTTTTTGTGGCATGACTAGCATTTTTCTCCATGAGAAATGCAGTATTACAGTCCTGGTTGAGAAGTTCACTGTACTTCTAGAACGCTACATTAATTTCATATAGTATTTGGGCAGAGATTGAGCATAGAGTACTTGAATTTTCACTAGCTTGTTTTTTTTCCATTAAAAATAAACATGTTTTTTAAGGAGTTTAATATAAAATTAGTATAGAACTATTTCACTTTGTTTTTATGAACATGCCACATTGATAAGCAGCTTTAATCTGTAAAGTTTTTGGTAACTGCAAGAAAATATTCGAAAGCTATGCATTTTAGAGAAAGCATAAAGGTAGTCATAATGGTACTTCTAAGGATCTTTATATTAGTGTATATAAAATAGTTTGCATATACAAATATAATATATAATCTGTTTGAAATATTCTTGAATGGTAGGGGCTGTGAAACATATTATAATTTATGGAAATATTGTACACAGTAAACAGACCTCTGTCAGTACACGAATGAACTTTTGTCATATGCATGAGAAATGTCTTATTTGGTGACTACTAATGAATGGGATTTTGTTAACCCATTTTTGTTAGATAACCACTTTAACAAATACTATTAAATGCCACTTTGATCAGTTTGCTTTAGTGTAAAAATACATATTTTGTTTCACTTAATTTAGAACTGAGAATACGAGACTAACTTTTGTATGAAGATTTGTTCCAAACACGAAGGTGGCAAACAAATCTGGTAATTAAATGTGGCACACTACACTCATTCTTCCCCCAGCCTTTCCTTTGTTGATAGAAAGTAAGATTTTTTTTTTTTCATTAATGCTATGAACATAACAAAGTTGGGTTGTAAAATATTTTGTCTTATATGCCTCTGCAAAAAGACTTCATATCAAGTGTGTTTTGATTAGGCTACGAATCTCACTCCTTCTCCAAAACCTATCGCATCCCTAATGACTGTCTCTTGGCTGTTACCATGTTTCTTTTCTGCCTGTCAAATCTAAGCTAAACTCTGGTTGCTTCTGTTGTACAATGGAGTGATTTGTAAAAGGTTGTGGATAATGGGTTTCCATGAAGATGAAGTACTGGCAGTACTTTCTGAGAAATACTTACTGAACCGTTTAATTTTATCTAGCTGGAAAACCAGAGGCTGTTGCGCAGAAACCTAACAGCAGAATTTTAAGTAAAGCATTTCCTCTCAAGACTTTTGAAGAGGCAAACATACAGAGCTTGAAACCAGGTGAAGTACCTCTCTCAGTCTTAAGATGATTTCATTGAAACACTTTATGCTCCTTCCACCCACACTAAAAGAAAAATTGAAATGAGTGTGGAGAGCACTTATGTAGCATTAAAAATCTGTGAAATGACCTGGAAATAATTCCGTCTCCTTTCCACTCCTTGTACATATAGGGGAAGCCATTACATTATTCTAGGGTGATTTTATTGTTTTTAATTTGTAAAATTTATGCTTTGTATGCTTGAATATAAGCTTAAAAGCATTACTTAAAAATTCCTTGACTAGTAGATGAGTGTTGCTCAACTTATTTCAAACCATTTTCTGTCCAAGTTCATTATGAAGCTTATTAAATTGAGTTGGAGTGTGATCCCTCTGTGTCTTATCTTCACGGTTTGCCAAGCCTCCTGTTGTCAGCAGCTGAAAGCATCCTTCAGATACTTCACTGAATATAAAATGATAACGAGGAATACATTGCCCTATATCTCCCTTTACACTACAGCAAGTTGTGTTGGGTTCTGACCTGCACTGTAGATCTTCTCCATCTAGAAGCAATTGGTCAGTATTAGTTTCTGCCATAAAGTTCTTCATGACAAGGGCACAGTAGAATTCACGAGCAAAGCTGTCTGTCCCCAGCCCTGCTTGGCAGGTAGTTCACATTACTTGCACAGCTGTATAGGGACAAAACCTAAAGCATACAAACAGGACCCTCCCAAGGATTTGCATTTCATAATCAACATTTTAGCACTAGAACCTACTTCTATTCTTTTCCTCTCCCCTCTGGCTTTCATATTATGAAATTCAGGACAAGTTTGACTAAAGTACTGGTGGGCTACACACAGCTACCTTCAGGCACTTCAGAAGCAGAAAATCCTGTGCTTTTTTTATGCTCCATATGTTAAACTGGAATTCTAATAACATACTTCTACCTTATACCCACCTGGACAAATTTCTGCACGGGAGCTGCTGTTCATTTAAGAAACATCTCCCTTTTATCAACTTCTCTCATATTATGCTGATTTTTCAGCATGTAGCTGTCCACAGCAATTTTGCAAATTTCTGTTGTTTGGCATTAGAAACCACCTGCATTTTCCTTGGATTGGGAATAAGTTATGTTAAAACTGCTCATACTTAGCAGGGCTCTTTCAAGCTGCGGTCAGACCATTCTTTCAAGAAACAGTTGTCTTTTATGGAATGTGTAAACCTATTACTCTTCTCATATCCTCTCAGAAATACCTAACTGCATCGTGGTTTGTGCTCAGCTTCATAAAATATCCACATAATACAGCCATTGTGTGGGTGAAGTTCAGTCATAGTAAATGTCTGCTTGAATGCTAACCAAATAATCGTTTGTTTGATTTAGTCTTTGGACAGATAAAGCTGAATGCAGAAAAAACTAGGGGAGATTGTGTTCTTGAATAAGATTATTTTCTGATGTCAGCACGTGTCTAGTGCATTATTTCCGTTTGCTATTTAATCAGCCTGATGGGAAGTTTGCTTCCAGAAAGTTACGAAGCAGTGAAAGGAATAATATGTGGTTTTTTACTTCTTAAACATTTACGTGCATGTGGTGGATGTTAGAAGCTGGGTGTTAAGTTTATACTCAAACACATTTTCTAACTGCAGCTATTTTTGAAATTAAAATTAGATCTTTACATTAGAAACAACTTAGTCAACCTTTTGATGGAAGAGGTGATGTTGAGCAGAAGGGAGGAGTGGAAGAGTACAAATACAGAAAACTTTGACGCTCAGTTTCCAAATTCAATCATAATTTTAGCAAGTTAATAAGCCAATGTTGCAGTGTTAGTGTTGGATGTGTGTGCATCCTATTGAAATGTGACTTAACATAGTAACTCAATTATGGATACAAGATTTTATTTGTGATTACTGTATCCTGCCCAAAATCTTATCTCTTCTATTCTTTCTTGACCTTATTACCTACATTTCACTTCAGTACTTACATCAGCACTCATCTCCCCTCCTGCCTGGAATTAATTTAACTCTAAACATATATGCTACTTAAAACAAAACCACCCCAACAAAAGTAACAACTATATATACACCCCTTATACCAGATGGAACAATGGTTTTGATTTTTGGCTGCATTTTTCATGACTTGGCTCCCTCTTCTGGAAACAGACACAGTTAACAGAATGAATAAAAATACCTTCTTTGCATAGTTTCTAATTTCCTGTCCAAATAATTGAAGGAAAGCCTACAATTTGATGAAGGTAAACCCTGTGGTTACTCTGCACAGCACCCCCCAGTTTCCACTTGCCACAGTTGTCGGCATTGTTTGCTTTCTATAGGGGTTGGAGGCCTGTAAAACTATATGTGGCTATGCCATATGCCTTTTTGGGGAGACCTCTTTCCTTGGAGGAAGAAATGCTGAAGCAAAAAACTGATTTTATGATTTTTGCTTTCGTCAGCCCTAAGGGCCTACTGGTTCTGGAGTTGTCTCTATGGAGTGCGAGGAGCCTTTTCCTGCTTCATTCTGTGAGGTTTAGCTCGATAATGCTGTTACCTCTCCTGATTTAAGCTAACTGCTCTTCAGGGACTTGAAAAGCATTCCTCTTTGGAGGAGAATGAGTGAGTTAGCTAAACGCTATTCTGCTGAAGTCTTAATTTTATTGAACATTTACAGGCTGCTGCTTTTCCTGGCTGCAGATGGGAGAAGCCAGCTGTGCACCTGTGCCCTGTACTTGTTAGCGTAACCCAGGAGCTTCAGTACCTTTTTCCCAAGGGCCGTATTTGCCCTTGGCAGGCTGTGCAGGAGCTCCTTCTCCATCCTTTGACCAAAGTTTTGCCATGCCTGCACCCAAGCCGCTGTTGGCCACCTGTACAACATCTTAACAAAGCTCCACCTGCTCATTCATACCCCTAAAGTGACTCACGCCTCCTCTTGTTTTGTACTGGGATAATCATTATTTTAATCATCTATTTCCATAAAGGAGCCTGATTACATCTCCGTGACGCTTACAGGAAGGCAGCGGCTCTGTCTGACAGAGTTAACCCAGGCTGCAACAACACTGATAACTGTTCGTTTTCTCCCTAAATTTAGGTGGGAAACCTTAAAAAGCAGAGAGAGATGTTTGTGCTGGCAAACCTGTGAAAAACAAAAGCGAAAGCTGGAGGAGCAGGGGCTGCCCCCGCCACCACGAGTAGCGTTGCAACTTTTGGGTACAGGAGGGACAGGAAAACTTCATTTTGTTGAACAGAGTAAAATGTAATTTTACTTGGGCCATCTGTTACCCCATCACTACGTTGCTGTGGGGATGCAATTCCACACCGGAGGGGGGGCAAAAATCCTTAAAAACTAACCCAAAAGGAGCCCAGCGAGCTGAGGGCTGCCCGGATCCGGGGGGGGACCGCGGGTTCGAGGCTGCCCCCGGTCCCCACGGGCCCCGGGGGGCGGTGGCGGTGCTGGCTCGGGGCCCGGCCCGGCCCGGCCCGGCCCGGCGGGGAGGCGCCGACACGTGGCCGAGGCCCGGCGGGGGAAGGCCGGGAGGGAAGAAGGAGAGAAGAGAAGGAGGAGGGAAGGAGAGAAGGAGGAGGCCGGCTCGGGGTGAGGCGGCGGGGCCGGAAGGCTCTGCCCTGCCCGCATGGCCGCGGGTGGCACCGCGGTGCCGTGTGGCGCCCAGCCCGGCTCCGGAGCCTCGCAGCGCCGCGGCATGAGGAAGGACGGCGCCGGGGACCCCTTTTGGCCAAGGTAAAGCTGCTTGAGGGGTGCTGCCTGTGGAAAAGCCGCCGCTGCTCGGCGGAGAAACCGCTTCGGGAGCCGCTCCGAGAGCCCCCGGGGGCTGGGGTCCCGGTGGGCTGAACGCGGGGCTGTGTGTGTGTGGGAGGGGGGGGGGGGGAGGCTAAAAATGCGAAATAAATCTCCTCCTTTCGTTCCTGGCACGCCGGCAGTTATTTAAACACGCCGCTGGATGTACCGGGAGGGTTTTATCGGAGTGTTTCAGTCAGGATGTTTGTCCTGGCGATAGGAATTCGTGAAGATAAAAGTCCCGGCGGGGAGCTGGGCGGCAGCCTGACAGCACCAGCCGTTTGGCAAGCCAAGTCATTAAAATAATTAGCGCCCCCGTTAAGCCCGAAGGGTCTGCTTTTAGAGCGGGGTGGTCCCGTGCTTGCAGCGGGGCTGTGCTGACCCCCAGACCACCGCCTGCCACCCCGACCCCTGCTCCAACTCTTCTGGTCCTGGCAGGGCACCTGATCCTACAACCCTACAGTTTAACAATCCTACAATCCTACAGTTTAACAATCCTACAATCTAACAATCCTACAATCCTGCAGTCACAGATGGTGCAGAAGTGCCCCGTGGCAGCTGGAAGTGATGCTCGGAGGCTTCTCCAAGCCAGGATCCCGATAGCCAGGGCTTCACCCCGCTGTCCCCCACGCTTTGGGGTTTTTTATAGGTTTGGCTTGATGCTGCTGTGGTGCCGAGCGAGGTGCTGTGCCTGGCAGGCTGCCTGTTCCCCTTCGCTTTGGGGACAGTGTGTCCCCATGGTGAGCCCACCACAGTGGCAGCATCGAGGGGCAGCCACGGGGCTGGTGACATTGGTGCCAACACACAGGAACGTGTGGCCTGGGGGAGGATTTGTCCCTTCTGGCAGCAATCAGGGTGGTTGAGGTGGGTTGAGGTTTATTATCAACCCCCTCTTGCAGTGGTGGCACGCCTTGAGCTGCCTTCCCGAGGCAGGGTCCCAAGAATGCCGAGGAGGTCTCACAAGCAAACCTTTGGCAGTCGTGTTGCTTAAAATTTTAAGATTCTACCCCCAAAGCAATTAAGAAAATCCCCTCTCTTTGTCGCCCCGTTCGTAACTTTTCCCTAAATATTCGTGAACTGGGAGTGGTGGGAGACAAAGAACCCCGAGCCAAATTTTCATGAAACAAAAATTTCTGCTTAGATGTCTTTTCCTGAGAAAAAAAAAAATATACATTTTGCCAGAATGAACCTTCCAGCTTCCCAAATCTCTTCTAAAAGTGTGAACAACTATAACACTTCCCAAAACAAGAGACTGCTGATGAAACATTTACCAAGAAAGACATATTTTGAACCGATTCCGACCGTAGCGCTGCAAGTAACCAAAAGATTTCAGCCAACGTGAAGGAGCAGCAGGACGAGCGTAGCTCTAATCAGCTCGTTATCTTTATTGCAGTAATTCACAGAGGCAGAGAGCACGTCCCCGTCAGGCACGGCCGCACACACGCGTGGTTGCAGCCCTTGTTTGGGGAAGTTTTGTGGGTCTAAAGCCAACGAGACAGGGGAAGGGTAAGGGGAGCCCGCTGCCAGCTCACGCGAGCAGGTCGGGGGCCAGCTGCTGGCTGCAGAACGTGGCAGGTTGGGCGGTTTGAGATCGATTCGGTGGGCAGTTTTTGAACAACACATGCAAATAAAGAGCTGTCAACATTTCCAAGTAAGTAATAAGTTATTGCCGTGGAGGCAAGGCTTGATCGGGTGGGGGAAATGACACAGGTTCTCCTTTCATGCTCCAACAAAAGACATGCCAGGCAGCCTTCCAAGATCTGTCTGCACCGTCAGTGCAAGGAGAGATAAGCACTTATCTTGGTGGCAGGTTTATTTTTCCATCTTTGTTCAACCCGCTTCTTCTTTTGTCCTCCCTTTTTTTCAGCTGGCTCTTCCTTCCTCTTCCACTGTTCTTGCCCTGTGATTTATCCTGCCTCTCCCGCTGCCCCTTCCCAAACTTTTCTGCAGGTTTCCAGTGGCTCCGCGATCACACATCTGCTCTTTCTCTTCCAAGATCAACTCTCGCCAATTTCTGTTTGGGGCTTGAAAAATTGCTTGCATGTTTATTTAGCACATCTGGATGTTTAGATAGCACTTTCTGCCTGGAGATCTCACCATGCCAAGCGGGATCCTTTCGGCAGATGTGTGAGAGCACCTCTGATTCAACAGGAGGGAAGACCAAAGCACCCAGAAGAGAAATCGATGGCCAAAGGCTGCACTACAAAGCCCTGGGCAGATCCAGCAGTCAACGTGGAGACAACGCTTTGGATGGTGCCTCCAGGAGAGAAACAGAGCACAGAGAAGTTAGTGTGTCCTGGGAAGGAAATGGCTCCCGAAACCACTCTGCATCTCCCAGCCTCTGGCTACACCTGAAGACAAGGGATTATTATAGCAGTTTCTTTAAGCTCCACAGATAAAAGGGCTTGTACCACTGGCCACATGCTGGCCTTCAGTCGCCTGACTGCGCTCTTTGCCCGGAGCCAGAGGTCACGTTGTTTTTCTGAGCTCAGTGCCCCAATCTTTTGTCAACACGATGCTGTGGTTTTAGTTGATTTTTTTTTTTTTTTGGTGATTGGGTTTTTTAGTCATCCAAGCTCCTCACCCTGAATTTAAGCACGTATTTCATTTATAGCTGATCCGTGTATGTCCTCAGATCAGTGTGCAAAGCATGCGTGTGCTTTATTATTACATTTTCCCACCTCCTCCACCTGGACTAAACAACTATTTCCAGCTCATGAGAGCTGCTGAAATCTAATTTCATCTTTGCTTTTGCCGAAAGCAAGAAATGAAGAGAGGGAATAAACTGAGAGCTGTGCTTGCTGAACACCACTTTGTTGCCATCTGTGGCTCTGCGGAAGAAGTTTGTGCACAGGAGGCTAACAGGAAATCAGCAGCTTTCCCAGTAAAAAAGCCCTGTGTCCTCCGTGCTGCTCTAGCTGGCTGCAAGCTGGCAGATTGGAAAAAAGACTCCTCTAAACCCGAAAGCTACTTTTGACAGCGAGAAATCACCAGCTTTGAGCCGGGCTGCAGCACGACAAAGTCAGCTTGAGGAGGGGAAATAAAGGGCTCTCTTGACAAGCGTGTTAGATTTTCAAGGGTAGGAGAAATTGTTAAGAAAAACAAAGAGAGAGAAGTGAGAGGACTGTCAAAGCAGGTTAAAAATAACTACCTGGGTATTATCTCCTTGTGCAGGAGTGTCTGCACGACAGCTGTGTCAGACCACGTCAGTCAGGCTGTAATTGTGGTGATTACTGTCAATTAAAGCAGGAGGCAGGTAAGCAGGGACAGAAGTATTTTATGGAGGAAAATGATGCTCAGGTGGGGCTGGGAATGGGTCACGAGGAGGAAAATGCCCCTGGTCTGCAGCTGGTGGCCCCGTGGCATGGCTGGAAGCTTGGTGCCACTCCGTGGTCCCCATCCTACTCCTCCTGGGGTTTGTGCAGGGATGGGTGTGTGCCTGCTGCAATGAACAAGTGGCTCCAGCGCACGTTTCCTCTGTGCATCTCCCACAGGGCCTCTTTGGGTCCCTGTCTGCAGGAGGAAACTGAGCCAGAAGGCTTCTGCCCCTTCCAGTTCCAGCTCTGGGCAGCACCCACAAGCACTGGAGACAGCTTCCATCCAAAAGCTGTTGTTGGAGCAGACCGTTCGTGGTCTGCACAGCTCTCTTACCGCTTAAAAAACCACCTGGCACTCCTGGCTCGTGCCTTGAGGGTGGCACGGAGCTGTGATCTAACTGATAGCCTCAGCACCAGCAAGTCCATTTTAACAGCGACCTGCAGTGCCTGCAAACACGACTGCAGACGGAGGGAAAGGAGCAAGGCATGGCAAGAGAAATAAAGTTGAATCAATATTTGCTCGATGGCACCTACTGGAGAAATTCCTCCAGCAGGAAAACACCCTGCAAATAAAGATACCCTGTGCTGTTTCCTCTGCGGGATGTCCCAGGACTCCTTCAAAATCAATGTTAAACACTGCCCTAGGCTGGGGACCCGTTCTTGGTGGGATCCAGGTCCCAGATGAAGCACTGGATGCTTCAAAGCAAAGCCGTGACCGTGACCACCCAGCGCCTGGGGCTGTGTTTGGGGGAGAACCCGGGCACACTGCTCAAACACAAGGCTGCTGCCATCCAAAAAGCCACCCAGGAACAGTCATTAGGACTCAATTATAGTTCTCGGTGCTAATTATAGCCCGTCTGGGTGGTGGTTGGAGCATTACGACATAGGAAGTGTTTTCTAGCTGCACGGCTGTGAGGAGGGTGCCGGCGGCGTGCAGAAGGGGACGCACCTGCAGGTGCCTGCTCCCTGCGAGAAGCAAGGAGGTGTGACGGGCCAGGAGAGCACGGCCGGGTGGTGAGGAGCTGCTGCAGACCTGCAACAACCTCTTGAGTCAGCGGGGTGGCTGCGGGCAGGCCGTGGAGCTTCATCCCCTGACGGTTTCGGAGGTGGCTGCCCCTCTCGCCGCGGTTTCTGCCCCGTGCAGCTGGGGAGCAGCTGGGAAGAAGCTCGGTCTGCGTGACGGCACCGCCACCTGCGACTTCCTTCTGCTCAGGTTTAGATGTGCCTGCCTCTGTCTCAGTTGGGTTATCAGCAGCACAGGTTGTTGCTCCCTCATCAGGGATGCAATTTAGTTAAATTTGCTAATTCCGGTAAAGCTCCGCTTCTTGGGTGGCTGGTGTTAGCTACAAAACCTATTGTTCGGTTTGTCGTTACTCCTTAGCTCCTAAAGCAGTTTTAATTTTCCTCCTTTGCACTAGTCAAGGTTTCTTCTGGAACCTTTGCTGTTGTTGTTGTGCACCGAGCAGAACATTGACTCATCGGCAGGCTCTGTGATAACTGTAATTAGGAGAAAATGCGTTTACAAAGCTCTTTCCTCTGAGGTAAGCACGTCCTTGTCCTTGCAGAGAAATAATTCTTGCCATGCTTGCAGGTGGGTGTGGGCAGCCAGTGATTACATTTGACACTCGTATTATTGGAGGGGATTTTCCTAGCTGGACGTGCTGCCTGCAGAGCGAGTGGCAGTCGGAAGCCCTCAGTAGAGTTCCTGCTTGTTTGGAACTGAAGTGTGTGCTGATGCGTATAAAAACACAGGAAAAGGGCATGAATTTATAGAACGGAGCAGTGATCGAGGAGACCACCATGACCATGTCATGTTTTATATATCATACGCAGTGGTTTTGGAAAAAAGTGAGGCTCCTCCTGTGCCCCCTGCCCGCAGCTCCCCTGGACAGTGGCGTTACTGCCTGCGGGCTGTGCTTCCCCTTGCTGCAAACACCTCCAGGAGGGAACAGAGCTGAGCTGCACAGGCCTTTTTCTCTCTGTTTCATACCTTATGCAGCCTTCCAGGGGAGAAAATGTCAATCTAATATCCCGTTAGAGTGCTGCCATGCTCAGCAGAAGAGCTGCTGGGAGAGGAAGCAGTGCCCAGCCCAGCCACAGGCACAGGGAAGCTTAGAAAGATCCCTGTGTGCTTCAGGGGGAAAAGTACAGTTTGGAAAACTCTTGGCAGCTAAATAATTGCAAACATACGCACGTGGCAAGCATTTACTTGGTCACCTCAACTTCAAGAACTGAAATAAATGGGTGCTGTGCTGCTGTGGATAGCAGGGAGCTGAGCGCTCCAGGCTGGCAGCTGCCCGTGTCCGCGGGGCAGAGGCACTGGTTTGGCAGGCACAGTTGTGCATCTGATACCAGCCAGCCTTGGGAAATCCCTCCGAGGTCTCTGCCGAGCACCTTTTTTTAATTTCTAGCCCCACCTGCCTGTGCCTCCCTCACCGAAACCACTGTCCAGGCTCTCCTGGGCTGGCTCCGACACTCAGGAGCTGGAAGTTTTTGGGCTTTGCTGCAGCAAACTGAAGATGGTCAGAGCCACAGCTCTTGGTGCTGGCTGGGCAGCCAGCACAGAGCTATCATCCACAGGTGATAAAAACAAATCAAATTGTTTGTGCAGCAAATTAAAGCGTGCTCGTTGCGTGCCCTTCGAGCGGTGTAAGACCAGGAGGGCGTTTGTCAGCCGGTTCAGGTGACCGAGGCAGGTCAGCCCTCGGTTCCTTGTTCTCCCAGCAAACATAAGTGAGGTTTTCTAGTTCCCGTGTTGTTTTTGTACGTTTCTGTGTGCACAATAAGGACGGTTCCAACCTTTAAAGCTCTGCTGAAAGCTCCCAGTTCCCCCCGCCAGGAGCCGGCACGGAGCTGCTTGTCAGGAAACAGCAATAAATTCATTTCCAGCGGGCACAACTGCTCGGTGTGTTTTACTTCTCATTGTTCCTTTGTCTCCCTCCGTGCCGGGCCATTTGACACATTTATAAATGGGCTTGTGCTGTGTGGGATTAACCTACATTTATCCTAAAACCAGCACAGAGGAATAAGCTCTCATTACAATATAAAAGTGACCCAGGTTGTTCCCTGGGCAGACGGCGGGGATGTGTAGCAGGGTGGAAAGCACCGAGGTTAATGCCCGGTACAGTGAATTTCACAATCATCTCTGGAGCAGAGAGAGCCTGTTTGTTCAGGCCTCTGGGCACCAAATTAACTACATACAAATAATATCAATAGTTTATGTTCTCACTGAGCTGCTTTTTCATGAGCAGAGGGGGATGCAGCCTGCAGGACTTCACCTGCACGTGGTGAAGGAAGAAATACTGCCAGCCTGGTTGTCTGCAGGAGCTCTCATCCTGGGGCTGAGGATCATGGACCAAAACCAAGTGTTACTACGAGCACATCCATACTAAAGTTATCCTAAACTTCTTGCCAGGGCAGGCTGGATGACTTCGCTCCTCGCCCTGGGCTGTTCAGCCCCACTACGTCCTGTCTCTCCCTAAAACTTGCCTCCACCTCTGTTGTTTTTAAGAAGGGTGACATGTCACCTCCCCTGGGGAACGGGCAGGAATGCCAAGTGACAAATATTTGCTACCAAGACAGCGTGTCATGCTCTGACCTTTCTTTTGTTACTCTTACCTTTTAAAGAACAGCTTCTAAAGCTTTTGTTTGGATAAAAAAGCCCAGCAAAGCAGGTTTCCACCCTGCCTTCCCCTCCACCTACAGTCAGCAGCGCCCAAGCAGCCTGGTGTACCTGCAGCTTTTGGACACAGACACAATAATTTGGATATAAAAGTTAGCATAATTCTTGAAAGTCACCAACCAAACACATTTCCAAGTGTTTCTAAGCACTGTGCCCCAGGGGGATCATGCTGACCTTTTTTTACCAGTCCAAACTCATTACAGCTTGCAAGCAAACCAGTCCCACCTGTAAAAGTGCTCGGTGGGCACCCATCTGCCTGGCAGCTCATCCTCTGGCCTTTTTCTCACCTTCTGCTCTCTTCCTGCAGGCCCACGTGCCGCGTGTGGATGGTGATGCTGCTGCTGGGGACGTGCCTGCTGTACTGCGCCCGCGTCACCGTGCCCATCTGCGCCGTCGCCCTGAGCACTCATTTTGGCTGGGACAAGAAGCAGTCGGGCGTCGTGCTCAGCAGCTTCTTCTGGGGCTACTGCTTGACGCAGATCATCGGAGGACATATCAGTGACCAGTACTGGCATTGTCTTTTCCCCTGCTCGAGCTTTTTCAGTATCACCTAACCTGTTTTTGATCTCTTGGTTGACAGTGCCAGGTTTCACCCTGGGATGGTAACGGGGTGGAGGGTGAAGGCTAGGTGTGGGAGAAGCTTTATGGGTTTCTCTGTTAGTTTTGCCACAGCCCTCATTCAGGAAGTACAGGTGTGGTTTTGAGTATCCGCTCACATTCCTGGGTCTTCAAACTGGTGCCATGCTTACAGTGCGGTGTACGGGGAAGGACTTTGTACAGGCAAAACCCCCAGAAAACCCAGGGAGTGCCCACACGGTAATTACTACCTTGGCAGTTCCCACACCGCTGCCAGAAGAGGCCTTCGGTTATATTAATGGACACTTAGACCACCGAGGTTTCTTTTCACCTTTAACCAGTGAAGGGCACTGTTATACCAGCATATTTTTTTGGGTGGAGGTGGTTTTTACCACTGGGTCAGTAACTGCAATAAAAGTGCAAACCCACAACCCTACATGTTAGGCTGACAAAAGAAATGGTGGGTGTGAAGTGGGCTTGATTTTAGGAAAGTGATAAATGCTGAGTTATTGCATGGTTCATAGCTACTGCTCGCTAGGAGTGTTATTTGTCCATTAAACAATTTAATCCCAGCTGTGTCCGACAGCCGTTTGGAAGGGTTTATGGCTGCAGTCACTAACCACAAGACGTAAGATTTCCTTCTTGCAAGGACTACAGCTTTTTATTATTTGAAATAATCTATTCTGTCTTCATTTACATTTTGGCACCTCCAGTGTTTCCACCCCACATTCTTGTGCAATCCTTTCCCAAACAAGCCCCTATCAGAGCTTCCATCATGTTTTGAATGCCTTTGGTCTATCACATCAATTAAAAAACAACTACCCCAGCTAGCTGTAAGGAAAGGTCTGGTTAATTAGCCACTCACATTCCTTTCCCCAGCCGCCCTCTCCTTGGTGAAGAGGGTTTTCCTGTGAAACCTTTCGTGAGAAGGGCATGCCTGGAAGGAGTGTGTTATCCATGCAGGGCACTCTGCAATTTTATTATGTTCCTTAATAGTCTGCAAGCAAATGCCAGCAAAAAAAAAATCCCCCAGCTGCTAACAGGAAGGAGTAGCTGATGCAGGAGAGCAGACGGATGAGAAAATACGGTCATTGTAAAAGAAAAGCAGAAGGGCAGCAGCAGCTTGGGTTTCCCCTGCACCAGGGAGAAGTGTTTGGGGTGGCTGTGTGCTGAATGGGCAATACCCACTGAGAGCTGTCCTGGTGGCTGACACGAGTCCTGCTCTGGGGCTGTCACCGGGCCCCTTCGTGGGGTCCCACACTCCGTGGAGGTGGGAAGGGAGGGGGCCAGTTCTGATCCTGCTCCCCGCAGGGCTAAAACCTCCTTAAGAGGAGAAGAACAAGTTAGACGGACAATTCTCTCTTAAAAAGCAGCTGAACTGGGAAGAATGCTTGAATTTTGGCTGGGGGCCTTTGCCCTTTCCCCCAGCCACTTTTTTCTAATGCACGTTTTCTGTCTTCCAGAATAGGAGGTGAGAAAGTCCTCCTCCTCTCGGCATCAGCATGGGGCTTCCTGACAGTCATCACCCCGCTGCTCACACACATCTCTTCTGCCCATCTCGTCTTCATGACCTGCTCCAGGTTCCTCATGGGGCTGCTGCAAGGTGAGACCCGTGTCCTGAGCACGTGTGTCTGCCCACAGGCTCCTTGCTCGGGGCTCAAATGTTCAGGTGCAAGACGTTTGGTTTGAAGTGTGTGAATTCCTGCTGCATGTTCGAGCAAGCTTCTGTCTCAAAGCTGCTTCTGCACCTGGAGCAGAAGCAAAAAAAACAAGTGTGACATTTCTAAAGTCACCCACAAATCATTTCCCCATAGAAATCTCCATAGAAATCTCTCTGTTGAACATGGGCTGCCACGATAAGAAGCTACAGCTGCTGGCTTCCGAAATCAGATTTAGATTTTTCTGTGTTTTAAAACTCCCTCGAAGCACTTGGTGAGAATTGGTCCTTGCCAAAACCTCTGGATAATTTGGGATGGTTTTCCTTTCCTCTTGCCAAATTGCAGCACTGGCACTGATGAACTTACAGTAGCAGTTTTGATGATGGAATGGGACTACAGAGAAGACACAAACAAACCTTTCCTTGCAATGGGTTCCTTTATTCTATGTTACATCCCTGTTTTGAATCCACCCAAAGTCTCGTTGCTTTGTCTCGGTGTTTAGCTCTTGATGAATCTTTTAAATTTGCTTTGGGTTTGCTGGTGAGGGCCTGCCCTGATGGCCCCCTGCCTTCCTTCCCTTTCTCAGGGGTCTACTTCCCATCGCTGGCCAGCCTGCTGTCCCAGAGGGTCCGGGAGAGCGAGCGAGCCTTCACCTACAGCACGGTGGGGACCGGCTCACAGTTCGGGTAAGTTCAAAAGGCAGATGGCTTTGAGCAGCGAGTGACAATCTCAGGACATCACGGTGATGAAAGGACAGTAAATAGTTGGAGGCAAAACTTGCAGCCCAAAGTACAGGCAGGTTCCTGGGTCCTTGAGGATGCCGGTTGCAGCTGGGGAAGCCTCAGGCAGTTGCTGTCTGTGCTCTCATGCACACGCTGCTGAAGACTTTGTGTTCTTTGAAATGCACGGTTTGCTCTTGCGTGTGTCAAGGATTTATGTGGTGTTTTTTTTTTTTTTTCTTTCCTTCCGAGACAGACTTTGAAGAGCGTTTGCAATATTTAATTACTATGGGGAACAGCCTGATCCAGCAGGAAGAGCAGGGGTCAGCGTGAGACTGCTCACCTGTCCTCCCTGACAGATGGCGATAATACAACTTTCCCTTCTCTTCTATTTCCATGAGAATTTCCTTTCTAAATGGAACAGTTACTTAAAAGCCAAATAGAAATACCACTGCATTTAATCGCTTTGTTTTTATGGGGGTGGGAAACACAGGACTCAGTCTGCAGCTGAGAGCTCGGGGGCGAGGTGCTGAGCCTCCCCAGCTCAGGATCTGGCCTTGCTGGGACCAGAGCAGGTTGCAAAGCCACAGGGTGCAGCAGGTGGATGTGCAGCATCCACCCCAGGAAGCCTCCCCTATGGCTCCGTGCCATCCTGGTGTCCTTGGCCAGCCCTTGGCAGACCCAAGAGCCAGCTTGTGGCTTCCCTTCCAGGACACTGGTGATCGGTGGTGCAGGATCTCTGCTCCTGGACTGGTACGGCTGGGAGAGCGTCTTCTACTTCTCTGGCTTGCTCACGTTGCTCTGGGTTTACTGCACCTGCAAGTACCTGCTGACAGAAAAAGGTAAATTCGACCTCATCCCTTGGGCTGCAGGGCTTGGGGTTTCCAAGGGCTTGCCTGGTTTTACACAGTGTATTTTGTTTGGGTATCTTGTATAATAAACAGTATCTGGCCAAAAATGATGAACCCAGAAACAAGATTTTGAGCTTTTTTGTTGCTGTTTCAGTCCCACACTGGATTATGTTGCTGTTGAGAGTCGCCCGGACTCCTCAGTACTCTTAAACACCAGTGAAAACACCAAGCGGAGCGTGATCTTCTAAGTGGATTAAGCTTAAACAGGGCGAGATACTTATTCCCAACTAAGAGCATCTATACACAGAGCTTTTAAAAAGCAGATAATCCCAGTATCTCTTCCCAAATAACTGTCTGGGAGAAATTCCACACATGGGCAAAACATTACACCTGCCTACAATGCTCTTAGTGTGCCTGTGGTATGTAGGGGCTCAGCTCATCTTGTGCCTGGTGCTGCCGTAAATCCAGACCCAAGAGATTTCTGTCCCGTTGTGATGAGAGATGCAACAGCTGGGAAGGTGGCTGAATGGGGCACTGTGTGGGTGCGTTGGAAGATGCTTGGTCAACATAAACAAGGTGTTTTCAAAAGCATCCAGAGCTGGTTTTGCAAAAAAAATAAAGAGTTTGAAGGAGATTTGAGGTGCTTGTACAGGTCTCGCAGGGCTCCCTCCAGCTGCACAGAATATCGCTGATCAGAGCTTTCCTTTGTACGTTTCCTTCCCTGCAGAACTCACCATCCCCATAGAATATTTAACGAGAGGCCTCTCGATGTCCAAGCAGAGCAAAGTGCCCTGGAAGCAGCTGTTTACGAAGGCGCCCATATGGTAGGCAGCTGGAGCAGCCCCGGCCAGGCTGGGAGAGCTCCTCCACCCCGCGGCATTGCCACCTCTGCCTGCTTGCTTCTTCTGTGCTTGTTCTCTTATTTAAGTATTTGGGAAATGCCACCACGTTTTCTAATCCCTCCTATGTAAATAAAGAACTGAAAGCATGAGCTTGATGAAAGGTGGGGTTTGTTCTGTCTGGGGGAATGCTAGGCTTAAATATTGCTGGCAAATCTTTCTCTTTTGGAGGCTGTTCCCTGGGTGAGTGTGATGCTCAGGGGCACTGGGAGGCATGGGCTGGGTTTGCACTGGAATAGAGTTTTTTTTAGGGAAATCTGCATTTTGCACTGAGGCTCATCCAAGCACAGCAGCAGGTTCCCAGGTGCTGCTAAAGACGGGGAGGAGGGTGATGGAACTGGCTGCCCTTTCCTGCCTTAAATAACTGTGGGACATCTGCTGATAACACAGCTTTAGAAAGCCCTAAATGACACCTCCTGCTGCGCTGGAGGGACTTTGGGGAAATACGCTCACACGGTCACAGCCGTGGTGAACCTGGCCTGAACCCACGGGCTGACGTCAGGCATCCGCCCTGGTGAGGGCAGCTGGGAAACGCGTGGTGCTGTGAGCCCAGAGCAGTAGTTATCTGCGAAAAAAATCTCAGGAAACAACAGCAGTGCTATAAGGGAGTTATTTATAGACCAGGAGCTGAAATACTGCGTTGCTAGAATGCCCCTTTCTCGCCCAGCGTGACCTGTCAGTGCTGATTATTCCCTCCCCGCTGTATTTTCTCAGGGCTGTCATCATCGCTCAGCTTTCTACATCCAGCACGTTTTTCACTCTCCTCTCCTGGCTGCCCACTTTCTTTAAGGAAACTTTCCCCGAGTCAAAGGTAAGGGTGGCTGAGATGCGGGAAGGGCTGGGGTGTGTGCAGAGGGGATGGTGCTGGGGGCCTGCCAAAGCGGGTGGGTTGGGGAGCAAGGGGAAGGCAGAGGGGTTTGGTGAGAGCAGGCTGGGAGGCAGGAGGAGGTGGGAGGCTTCCCTGCAGGGTCCAGGAGGCGTTTCTCCATGCATACATCTGGAGATGTGCACGAGCATCCTCCCTCCGGGTAGGCAGAGGCTGGTTTCTTATGGCTTGGTGAGGGATGCTGAAGTGAGGCAGACCTGGGGCACCTTCCAGGCAGGGAAGAGAAGGGTTATGTCTGGTTTTCAGACTCTTATTTTATTTTATTTTATTTTATTTTATTTTATTTTATTTTATTTTATTTTATTTTATTTTATTTTATTTTATTTTATTTTTCTTCCGAAGGAGGGACGATCTTCAAATGGCACGGAGCTCATTGCACTATGCCATTGTAAATGACCACCATTCCTGGGTTTTTAAGTTTTTATTTAACTATATTGACATTGTATAGCTCAGAGATACCAGCAATAACTGATAATTACCATTAATAAAGTGTACTTTAACAACACTATAAAAGCTTCTCTCCCCTCAGCACAAACAACGATCCCATTTTTCAGAAACCTAAGCAAGACTCATCTGGGCTGACAGCTACTATTTTTATCTTCTTATTCTCAGAAACTGAGACATCATTTTCCACAATGGCTCTGCTAGGGTTTTTTTGTAACTTCCAGAGCTGCTTACAAATGCCTTTTAACATTACATTTGTAAGGGGCTTTATGGCATGCTTGATATTTATTTTAAAATCGTGTATTAAACCAGTAAACATATTGTTGTGACAAGATCTGTGCACCTCTGGTAATATGCTTGGGTAGCAGTAATTTGCCATCTGTTAAGCCTTATATCATGGTCCTCTTATGTAAGATGCTCCACACAGCGCTCCTGCATCCAGTAATCGCTTCATGCATTTTAATAAAACGGGGCTTGACAATGCTCGATTTTAAGGGATTGATGATAATCCTTAGCGTGGTAAAACTATGTCACCTACTGGTCGGACACCCTTGCTGCAGGTGAGGTGCCTTCACCGCTCTGCAGTCTGCCACCTACAGCCCACCTGGATGGAAGATTTTGGCGATGGGATGAGACAAGGGTGGCCCTGGTGTGTTGGGACAGATCGCTGGGTGACCCCAGGTGGCGTCACGAGATGCCACAGGCATTGCCCCACAAACCTGATGGGATAACATTTCCGAAAGTGACCGAGGACCAACATTTCAAAGGCGCTGAAAGATGCAGATGGGCCATGCTGTGATTTCCAGGAGCAGTCGAAACAGGATTATTCAAAAGCAGGATTATTCAGCCCTCCCACGCATCCTGATGTGGCATGGGAAAAAGAGATGTGTACATGGGGAGGTGGGCTCTGAGCAAAGGGAGCTTTAAATGGATGAGGGATGGGTTGATTCGACCCACTGAGATGAAGCTCAGCCCCAGCACACACCAATTTCAGCTCCCCGTGGGATCTGGGCACCAAAACGCCTGTGAGCAGCTGTAATCCAGATGACCAGCAATCATCTGTGATTACAAATGCAGCAAGCTTGCTTAATTGAAAATAAACCGAAGTATGTTGTGACTGTAATGTTACCTAATCCTGGCATTAAAATCCAGCTACACTCCCGCAGCTTTGCAGTAACGCTGCTAATGAGGTTGAAGCTGCTCTTGGAAATTTTGCCAGCAGCTTTTCCGATGACCCCTGGGGCAGAGCGACATCCACAGCTTGCTTTCCAGACCTCTGCGGCTCCCTGCCACATCACCTTGCTGAACACTAAACTTTGCCACGTTTAATCCCTCGCCTCTGAGCTTTCTGCCTCTGCCCTGGAGGTAGGGTCACGGAGACTGAAGGAAAGGCAGCACACCTACCACCTGCTGCAGCCCCGTGCTGTGCCTGATGGGCTGCAGATTTTGGAGAGCTGCAGGCTGTAACTGAGAGCTTGCGGTGGGAATGGGGTAGAGATCCTGTAAAAAGTCCTGATCCCTTCATTTTTTCCTTTCTACAGACATCTGCAAGTAAGCTGAGCTCTGACAGCAGCCCTCTCTTGACTTTTGCTCTCTTTCAGGGTTGGGTGTTTAACGTAGTCCCCTGGCTGGTGGCAATTCCAACGAGCTTGTTCAGTGGATTTCTGTCTGATCATTTAATTAACCAGGGTAAGAGCTCTTTTGGCTTTTCCTCAGCTCTGATTCTATACAGTGTGGGAACAGAGCCTGTCTGGGAGGACTTGGGCTTGTTCAGGTGGAGAAGTCCCAGCAATAGACAGCATGAAAATGGGGTAAGTATGGCAGGGTCCAGGTCCCATCCACGTGCTTGGAGCTCCCTTTGATCTCACAGCATCCATCCAGAGATGAGCTGTGGCCATCTGAAATGCACTTCCCTGGGAGGAGCACAAGGAGACCTGTTGCTCTGTCTTTACGTGGGACTCTTCCTTTCTCTTCCAGGGTACAAAACCATCACCGTTCGTAAGTTCATGCAGGTAAGAGACCTCTGCTTGCCTGCTGCTGCTGAGAGGCAGATCAGGTCGCTTCCAGAGCTGGGTTGGTGGTTGCAGGGGGGAGGTTTTGTAGCTTTGCAGCCAGATTTGACTGGCGTGTATGGGAAATGAAATGCAGAGGAAAACCCGAGCAAGGAGCAGAGTGTGGACCCGCAGTTATGTTGTGCTTGGAGCTGTGAGAGTGCTCCAAGGAGCTCTTCCTCCACAGGTAGGGCCCAGCTGTACGCTGTCACTGCAAAGGGCCCTTTAGGTACCGAGGGAAGAAGCAGTGCAAGGATGAGCAGAAATAGAAAAGCCAGGAGAGCATGCCTCTGCCCACATCGTGTCCATCTTGGGGGAGCAAAGACCCAAAGAGAACCGTGCACACAAGCTCTTCACATTGTAAAAGGGCACAGTTTGTCTGCAAAAGGGCTTGCTTTCTGCCTCACAGAAGATCCACTGCAGTATTTCATTTCCCTTTTCTTCCAGGTCATTGGCTCCGGTGTCTCCAGCGTTTTTGCTCTGTGCCTGGGCCAGACATCCAGCTTTTGCAAAGCCATAGTGTTCGCCTCGGCCTCGGTTGGACTCCAGACCTTTAACCACAGGTAATGAAGGCAGCAGTGAGCTGCAGCCCTAGGCTTTGTCACTCTGGGCTCGCAGGGCAGGCTGCCCCTGGTCTTACTGGGGTGCTAAATCTGGCACTTCCCAAGCAGGGGCTGGCTGTGCTGCGAGCAGGGGCACGAAGCAGGAGGGGAGTTGTGCTTTGACCCCTCTGAGTGCCTTGAACTGAACCCTTCTGGTTCTCTCCTGCATTGCCTCTTCCCTCCTTGTCTTCCCTCGTCAGTGCCGTGGGTTGTCTGGGCTCCTTCCATTTGTGTGACAAGCTAAGAAAGCTCTGTGCAAACTATGAAAAAACAAATCGTGCTCCATTAAAACTGGCATTTCCCCCTCTCTGTTTCTCACTAGTGGTATTTCAGTAAACGTGCAAGATTTGGCCCCCTCCTGTGCTGGCTTGCTGTTCGGTAAGGTTTCCTCTGGGCTTGGGGCTGTGCTGGAGAGGTGCTGTGCGTGGGGGCACACGGGGCTGGGTGTCAGGGTTTTAGCAGCCGTAGCTCTTTGGGACGGCTGCTCAGTGCTTGCAGCCTCAGCACCCTTCTGTGCATGCAGCTGCCTTCCCCAGGGCCAGGTGGCTGCACAGGCTGCTGCTTCTTTTCTCCTACAACCACCTGGAGAAAGGGAAGGGGGTGAGGAGAAGTGGTGCTGGCCCTGCCACCAGCAAGGCCCTTTGCTGCCCCCCATATCAGGGGTTGGGTGGGAAGCCAGGTGAAGCTGCCTGCATCTTTGGGTTTCTAATACCCACTTTCCGTGAGACAAAGCAAAAGGAAAAATCCCTTTTTTTTCACTTTACAGGTGTTGGAAATACAGGTGGAGCCCTCCTAGGTAAGGCACCTTCCTTCAGCTCATCCTTGCGGGCAGGCAGGATGCGACCCCACAGCCTGTGCATTTCTCTCTCTTCCCCCTGTGCCCAGGAGTCATCTGTGTGTACTTGGCTGGCTACCTGATCGAAACGACGGGCTCCTGGACTTCTGTCTTCAACCTGGTGGCTGCTGTCAACAGCATCGGGCTCTGTGCATTCCTGGTGTTTGGGGAGGCCCAGCGGGTGGACACGGACTCTGCCTACATTGACCTGTAGAGAGGAGTCCAGCAAGCAGAGGAAGGATAAGGGAGCTCAAATCCACGTGTCATTGTTGCACAAGTGCCAAAGAATATTATTTTTTGTAGGCATTTAACAAAAAATACTGAGACCAAGTACTTAGTGGGTCTGAATGAAACCCACGCCAAAAAGACTTCTAGAGTTCATTTTTTTTTTTGCTCAGGGCAGGGCTGATGGCCTGTGGAGCCATCCAGCTCAACATCTCCAGTGAGATTTTGGCCTTGGTTTGCCCCAGTCCCGTTTCCAGTGGGCAGACACCCAGCTGGGCTGCCCTGCTAGGTGGGGCTGCAGTTTGCACTCCCAGCGTATTGATAGAGCCGCTTCGCCGTGTGGAGCATCACTGCCTCCATGCTCTGCCTCCCTGTGATCGTGTGGAGGACTGCCAGCTCTTGGACCACCGCTCAACACATTTTTGTCTGAACTAACAGAAAGGAAGAACCCCAAAGAACATACCTCTGACCTTAACCATCCCTCGCGTGCCTTCGTTTTGCAGCCCGCTCGGCAGGCACAGCCCAGGTGCACAAGGGACTGGGTTGTGAGACAAATCCAAGGCTTCCCTTTGGGGCAAGCGAGGATTTCTGGCTGGGTGCCTGCTGTGCACCGTGGGCAGGACGTTGCATCCATCCTGCAGACCACAGCAGACCGCTCTCAGCAGCCCAAGGGCTCCCTCAGTGTCTGAGCCCGGTGGGATGCAGGACACCACGTGTTGTAGGGGCAGCCCAGGAATCCTCCAGGAGCCCTTTTGCCCCACGCTGTGAATGTAGAAGGATTGGTCATGCTCAGTGCTACGGGTCCGTGCTCCCAAACGCTCTCTGCTGCATCAGACGTGTCCTTCACGAGCTCTCAGAGGGCTGCGGGAGATTTTCCAAAGAGCCTGCAGTGGGCACCTTTTGTTTCTCCTTCAAGCATAAAGGGAATTTCTGCATCAGAGACCCTTAGTACTGGGTGTGGATCCGTGCTGTTCCCCGTGTCAGGGGGAAATACGTGGCTGTTCACACCTCTGAGCCTGAATGTCTTAAGTTATTTATAAATATTTTTAAATTTAACTACCAAATTCTATATTTTATGTACTTGAGGCCTGATTCTGCATGCTTATTTTCTGTGGTACTCCCACCGAAACCCACAGTATTTCCAGAGGGGAAGGATTTACCAGCCTACAGATTCTGGTTTTGTACGCTCTATTTTAAATGTGACATTTAATATTAAAGTAAGTCATTGCTTTTCCTCCCACCCCTTGCTTGCAGCCCAAGTTTTGGAGCTGAGAACAATTCAGTGCCACTCGGTTAGCGAGGAGGGCACAGCCAGCATCACGGCTTTGGCTTTGCAGCTGCTGAAACTGCACTCACCGTGCAGGAAAACTGCAGATTCAGGTCCTTAAAAAAAAAATAAAAATCATGCTTATCCTTTTGTTTGGGACAGCTTTCTTGGAGGATACCTTGCTGCTTCTGAATAGGTGGGCTGATAATGAAAATGTTTAACTGCAGACACAGTAATGGTGCCGCTAAGCTGAGCTGAGCTACTTATTGGGGGTATTAAGAGAGAAAGATAGAGCTGCCTGGTGTCTTCTCGAGGGAAAATAACATCGGTGTGGTCCAAGTTGGGGCCAGAGAGATGAGTACTTTTTTTCTTCTTGCTTGCTTTTTTCTCTAAGAGGCTGTTTGCTGCCATGGGTCCAGCCCTGTGGCTGGGATGCTGCAGAGCCAGGACCCGGACACTGCTGGGGAGCTTCTTAAAATCAGCAGGTAACGGGGGGCAAACTCAGCACAGGCTGGCCAGCCAGGCATCTCTGCCAGCCCTGTCCCTCCTCCAGCTGAGCAGCTTGCTTGCATGACCTTTCCTGTAGAAACACAGAAAAAAAAAAGTGTTTTTTTTTTTTTTTTTCTTTTTTTAAAATATCTTGGCCATTCAGTGGTGCAGCTCAGGAGAACAAGGAGTGGATCCTGGTTCTTTTTTTTTTTCTGCTTGCACTGTTTCTCATGGAAGAGTTGAATTCCATCAGTTTAAATCACGTTCACATGAGGCAGCTGGGCCACCCCTTGTATCTGCAGGCTGGGAGATGTGGAACTGAGATCATCAAAGGAAAGTCAAAGTCCCAAATGATCAAACCGATGATGCTGGCTGTGCCTTCCTTGTACAACAGCTAGAGCTTTGGTGGGTTGTCTGCATTATCTGTCTCTGTAAACTGGCCAATATGTTGTAGAACTGAGGCTCAGGTTTCATCACATTCATACATCTCCAGTGAAGTATTGAAACCCTTTTGCATATCTGTACGATTATTAGTTTAAGCAGCCTTGCCAAAGCTTGCTGAGAGATTTTTTTGTTACGGAAAGACCTAAAAAATAAAGGCAGCAAATCATTTGCACACTGATTTTGTGATTTTCCTTGAAAAATGATTTTCCTTGAAAAATGAACGCAGAGGTGCTTATTCACATGGTCAAGTAAGAGACAGACAGAGCTGGAGTGTGGACCGACTCCTTAGGAAGGAGAGGCTGGGCTGGGGGAGCAGCTGGGCTGGCGGATCTCCACAGCATCCTCACACACATGCTACAACTTTTTTCTGGCTTATTTTGGAAAAATGACTGAAAAGCTGTTTCCAGCATAGGTGTAGACTCCAGCATCAGGGGACACGGTCCGGTGTTAGTTGTTAGAACAATAACACAGATGAAACCAGTCTTCTGCTGGGTGGGACATGCCCCGCAGACAGACCGCCTTCCACCTGGAGACCGAAAAAAAAACCCCAAACTGCCAACTTTTTTCCATCCTCGCTGATAGGTTCGTGCGGATGCCAACAGAGGGAGCTGTTAGATTTGGGATGTGGCTGCCCAGAGCTGCACCTGGCCCTGGCACAGCTGGCACAGCCCGGCCGGGAGGGCAGCGAGTGGCCAAGAGCATCCCAGGACCACTGTGCCAGCCAGTGCCTGCCCCAAAGTGTGCCCGTGGGGTGATGGGGCAGCTCACACCGGGGGAAAATGCTTTTTAAAAAGGAGAAGTAGCCACTAAAGGAATTTTAAAACCCTACCTGTAAAGCCACACAGTCAAGGAAGGACCTTTGAGGGACTATGGAGCCCACTAATTTTATCCTCAGTGTGCTCAGGAAAAGTAGCGTGAAATTTAGTGCTGCCAGAACAGTGCTGAAGGTAATTTAGCAGGATGTTTGATCCCCAACCCTCCTTGTCCTTTTGCTCCCCTGCTTATAAATATATGAACAACCTCTGACAGACACTCTTTTGACCCAGGAAGCTCTCAGTAAGCAGAGACCACCCTAAAACCCTGCCCTGCTCCTCCTCACGGTGTCCTGCAACCGTGCAACCGAGGGAAGGGAGTGAGGGACAGGTACGGGCGAAAAGGGTCTGGAAATCTGGGACTGTGCTTAAAGGCTGATTAATTACAGGTCCATTGTATGGCTGCTGAGGGGTAGAAGTGATGGGTCAGTTTGTGTTTGAATTGTTGAGGGCATGCTCAATAGCTGGCACGAGCACTGAAAGTGCGCTGTTCTATTGCAGTTTGCGTAACACTAAATCAATAAACACGTTTAAGCAGATGGAAAGCAAAACACAGGGGATAAAACAGCACTATTTGGAGAAGAAAAGAAAGAGCAAAGAGCACTTCTTGCTGGCACTTTTGCACTGAAAACCCAAGCAGATGCTCTCACAGCAGAGCCCCGATCCAACATCCACCTGCCAGCTCCCCAGGGCCAGGACGTGCCCCAAAGCCGTCCTGCAAAGGGCACGTCGCACCCCGCGCCCTCACAAGCAAAATATCACCCTTTATTGCAGCCGTGACCTACTGCACGGCACTGTACGGAGGAATTTTCCATTTCAAACTTTAATGCAATAATTAAGATGTCCATTAAGGTCTTTACAGTTTGACTGCTTGTAATTAAAAATGGGAGGGAGATGGCGAGGAGTTACAGTCGAGGACATCAAGCTCCTGCCGGCAGCTTTAAACACTCTCCCCTTTCTACTTCTCTGTTTTATTTATTTCTTCAGAATCATTTTCCAGAACTCCCCCTGCAGATTTTGGGGTGTCTCTGGGCATGGTGAACCTCGGGGATTGGACCCTTGGAGCTCCACCAGCAAAGATCCTGGGGATAACCAAAAATCCCAGTGTGATCACCAGCCCCAGGAGCAGTAACAGGGTTTTATGCTTCAGTTGCCTTCCAGCTCCCCGCTCACACAGCTCACAGCACGGGATTAGCAGTGGGGAAGGTTTTAATGCAATAATGAAAAGGGGAGAGCCCCCCATATAAACCCACAGCTTCCAAAGCGCCTCTGCTCCTGGGAGGCCACAGTCCCGTTACCCAGTAATAGGATTTGGTGTCCTACAGCACCACTGAAATACTTGCAAAAATTTCATTCTCAAATCACCAGATTTTTGCAAAGGCTTAACAAAAACTAATGATTTGATGGTGGGAGTAGCTGCCAGAAAAGCTTTGGCTGATCCCCTGAATCCTTTCCCAAATTGCTTTCCCTGCCATGTACAACCACCGTGTGCTGGTTCCCTGCTCGTGTTCCTCCAAACGCAGCGCTTGGTGCAATCTCCTGGCGCTTTGGCATTAATTATTCTCTAATAAACTGTTTTTAATTTCAGCTCCAAAGGAAAGAAAAAAAAAATCCACTTCCATGGGAGACAACGGAAAGTACATGTGTAGCAATTATCTGTAGGGTTTTACACAAAGAATTAGAAAGCTACTCGCGCATGTCCTGCATCCTCATTAAAGGCAAGCGGTTTGCAGCTGACAGGGGATTCTCCTGTGCAACCATTTAGGCTCATTGCAGCTGTTAAATTCCTTTCATTTTTTTTTTTTTTCCTCCTTTCCTACCAAGTCTCATACAAAATCCACTAATTTATGACCTCTCCTGCGTACCTGGGTGAGGCGAACGCTTTCGTGGGACTCATCCTCTACCCTTCAGAAGCGCTGCTGGGCTCAGGGGAGGGAGGATTTGCCTTCTTTGGCACCCCAATCCCTGGTTATTTATTTATCTAGTAGAATAAACATTCCAAACACATAGTGCCATCAGCAAGAACATCACCAGATATCAGAGGGGAGGTCTTCAGATGAGCAATTTATCATTATTTGTTTTATTTCTCTTCATTTCAGCCCATCACAAGTGCTCTTTGGACAGGGCTGGAGGATCTACCGTGGGACCCACCTGGCCCAGCAAGAGCTCAGCCCCAAACCTCCATCCCCTCCATGGCACGGTACAGAAACCTCCAGGTAGGACACACACTGCGGAGAAGGGGACCCAAGAAATGTCTGTGTCTGTGCTTCCAGGAGGGTCAGTGCTGGTGGGACATGGGCTGTTCTGCACCCCAGTGAAAGGCTTCGGACTCAGGGACCGTGAGAAACCTTTCCACGTGGGACATTTTCCAAGCGGTGCCCATTTTCTGGGGAATTCATGCCCGGGATCAGCTGGGAGTGCAGCATTCACATTTAACTCGTTGCTTATTTGTGGTGTAAAAAACATGGGGAAATTGTGATTGACCTCCAAATCAGATTGGTTTCTTTTCTCTATGAGGAGCTAAATTTAAAACTTCAGCCTTTGTGTCATCAGACTTTGTCTTTTGAACTACACCAAATATTGAGTGATCTCTCTCAGTACCTCAGATAATTTCAGCGTTTTCAGAAATGCAATTTTGATTCGAGTTGGGATGAAATTAGTGAAATCCAGAAACTGAGCCTCTCTGCAGAGCCCCTAGATGGACAAACTCTTCCTAACAGCATTTAGAAATCACTCAAATAGCTTGAAAAACGAGAGCTGTTTTGGGGAGCCACCCAATAAACATGCCCAGCACCATCTGTATGTTAAAAGGTTTAGGATGGGAACTGTGGCTGACAGAGCATCATTAAGATGTATTACCCACAGGTTTAGCGGATAGGGATAAAGCTCCTCAGGGTGGAAACCGAACCAGATTTGCAGTTGTCTCAAAGCTGGCTGTGCTAATACACACACCATTACACGCCAAATTTGCCGTGGGACTTCGCCCAGTCGTGTGGGCAAACCGGAGACCTGCCCGTGTGGGCTGCATCTGCGAGCACCGTCACAGTGACAAACACAGGCATAGCATTAATCACATACCTGGACTTAACCGTGTGAAAATCTGGCTTGCAAGTGTAGCAGCAAGGTAATGCAATTTGGGGTGATAACACTCAGTTTTCTGTTTGGATTTAGCGAGGGGCACTAAGGCTGCAGTGCCTGCCTCCAGGTGTTCCCAGAGCACGGCAATCCCAGAGGGTTTCTGCCTTAGCACCTCCGTCTTCTGGCACATCTAATGAGGAGCCAAAAACTGCAGCATAATTAAGAAACAGAGAATTTTGATATTGCTCAGGGCTTTGGTGTTCATAGGCAAATTTTAACCACTGGGTGGGCAAGAGGAGGTCATTGCTCTCGATGAAGACATGTTTCTCTCTCTGCCTTCAATACAGTGCCAATTTTTATTCTGTTTTGATAGGTTCTGTCCATTCTCGCCCTCCTCCTCCTCCTTGGAGATTTCTGGATTAAAGAATAAAGCACAGAATTGATTTCCTAAACGTGCATTAGAAAGGATTATTCCAGGAGATTCACCCATGTTTGGTGGATTAATATTTCCAGGGAAGGACGTCCCCAGTCTCGGGCAATACTTCGCTGACATTTCCTGAAACATTTCTTTGCTTTTGCAGACACAGGGGAGCACCTGTACCGGAGAGCACAAGTCCACAGCACGGGCGTTTGAGCTTCTGCAACTTTTGCAACACCAGCATTTCCCATACAACTGTATAAAGAGTGCTTTGTGTGAGTTCTGGCTCTTTTCTCTTGTTGAACACTACCAGCACCAGGGAAGTCAGGATGAATCCATCACTTGCAGCTTCTGAGAGTGGCACAGCATTCAAACTAAACAGGAGCCTGTCCAATTAATTAATTTGCCCTCCGTACCCTGCACAAATGCAGCAGATCGAGGGCCTATTACATGATAAGAGCAATCTGTGAAGGCTTTATGGTGATGTGTGGCTCCAAATTATGTGTCAGAGGTTAACAACTGATGCAGGAGTACAGCTCCCTGCCTCCTGGTCTGTCCTGGGCATGGGAAAGCCCCTGGGTGTCATTGAGTGAAACCAGGCAAGGTTTTTCTCAATGTTTCACAAGGCCCAGGGAGGTGGAGGGAGGCGAATCAGTGCTGAGCCCAAACTGAGACCTCAGAGACCAGCTTCTGGGTGTCAACCAGCAAAAAGGACAAAAAGCCATCATTCTCCAGCCGTGGCCAGACGGATTGACTGGGTTGCCCTTATGTTTGCTTTCGAGCAGTCAGTCTGGCAATAGCAGCAAGGGAAAAGAAGAAAGGAATATAAGAACAGATTTTATGGGGGGCCAAAGGAAGCATTCAGGAGTG